TATATAAAATATTTACCAGTATGCAAAAGATCCACTAGGTGGCAGTAATACAACTCACAAGATGCAGATCTTTCAGTAAAGCCCAAGGAAGAAGCGTAGCTGAGCATGTTTGCAGGGTTAGCCTGGCCTAGCCTGATGATGACTCACTCACAATCTAAAAAATGCTACATACTAACGTGGTGCTAACACACTGTAAATAGACAACAGGCTAGCACCTCATCTTCTTATTGAGGTTAACAGGATTTTGCAAAATCTTTTATGCCCGATGCGATTTGGGACCAGGTGAAATTTAACCCCTAATCTTCTGTATGGTTGGGTGAAAATGTCACTTACACTCGAGATGCTAGCACACTAAATTAATGCTATGACTCACCACTGGGTGGTGCAGGAAAAATAAGATAACATTTGAACTGAAATATGCGATTATCGTGGGAACATTTTGTTAGTCAGTTCGGAACAAGGGGTATTCTGTGGTTTGGAGGTAGGATTAGAGGAAGGCTAGGTCTTCGATATTTCTAATGCTTAAGGTTAGGGTAGGAGGCTAGGGAATTGTTACGGCTACGTGTGTTTTGGCTCTGTGTGAATGACGTCTTACAGAGAAAGAATGTAAAAAATGTGCTGCCATGTGTACGCCAGTGTTTACTGACACAGGGCTGCGAGAGGAGGAGAGAGAAATGGGGGGAGAGTGGGGGAGACAGAGAAAGAGGGGAGAGAGAGAGAGTTCTGTGTGTATGTGATATGTACAATATGCACAAACACATGCACATGTGTTTGTACAGTTGTTTGTTTCTGGTTTAACTAAACTTGTGGGGACCTCTGGGAAACTACTGTTTGAGTTGGGATTTCAATAAGGGGGAGATTAAAGTCAGGATTAAGATTAAGAATATATTTCAAATGTTTTAGGTCAAGAGAATTCATAACCTCCATGATGTGAAGGGTGTGTGTGCGTTTGTGTGTGAGAGAGTTGGAAAGAACTAGTGACTCACACACTTCTGTCACTTCCTGTTAAGAGCACTTTTGTGCGTAACAATTGCAATTTTGAGAGCTGCTGCATAACTGGTGTGTGTGTGTGTGTGAAAGCACAGCAGCTGCAGGCCGTCTCTCTGTGACACACTCCTGGACCCGGCCTGTCAGTTGTGTTAGCTCCTCCCCTTTCTGTTTTTATTTATATTCCATATTATTTTGTCGTCGTAACGTCCGTCATCGTAGCGTCTGACGTCGATTTCGTCTCTATTCTAGTTTTAGCTTTAGTTCAAAGGTTGATGTAAGACAGGAGCACCCATCAAAGGCCGTGGACTTTTCAAGCGAAGATGGGATGTCCACTAAGGCCATCAAACTGCCCCCAAGCATGTTTGCCCCCTAAAGTCCACTTTCTATGATTAGTATAAGTGTAAATTTTCTGTTTGTCTTCCTTCAGATTTGGGACATGAGCGATGACGAGAGCATCTGAAGGACCAACACATCCGGAGCCAGTTAAAGTCTCGGGACGGCAGGGGAGGAAGTGACTCATCAGGAGCTTAGTGGACAACGTTGGAGCCATTCAAATGATCTGACGTGGAGTACGTCATGAAGGAAACATCGTAAAAAGCTTCATATTATTTTCTTTTCTTTCTAATGGGTTGATATAACGTGGGATTGTAGTAATACTGTTAACAATGGTAGTTTTAATAACTTAGTGGTGACTGCTGAGATCATCACAGGTCTCCACCATAAATACTCCACAGACAGCGTCACAAGGTTTCAAATGTTTGTTGTCGATACTACGGGACAAAATCATTCAAAAATAAAATGCAAGAAATATTTTTTAAACATTAGGACCAACATTCTCTACACATTTATTCAAAATCAGGATCAGTTTGCTTCAGTCTTTTGACTATTTATCAAAATAATGGAAACACTTTTTTCAACCCGTGTTATTGATGTTTGATAATGAATGGTTCTGTGAGCAGCCAAGGTTTTTTCTGTTGCTACATGGATGCGCTTGTTTCCGTACTGTGTTGTATTGGTTCTGCCAACATCAAGGTGATGGAGTGTGTGTGTGCGCGCGTGTGTGAGAGAGACGCTAATGGACACATTTGATGCAACATGAAACAAAACGTTCACTTAAATTCCACCAGTAAGAGCTTCGTCAACGTCACGTCTTCACATCAAACACACATTCTTTCCATCGTTCTGGTTTTCTCCACCTCCTAATCCACTGTTGACTAACCTGTAATAAAGTGTGTGTGCTACATCTCATCTTTGTGTATAAGTTTTATTCTGCTGATCAGGTGTGTGAACCACAGAACACGCAAACCCTAAACAGAAAGACTGGGGATCAAACCTCTTACTGTATGACAAGAGCACTAACCACTCTTCAACTGTGAAGATATTTTACTTTTTCAACAACATCCTTAGAAACGTGGTTTATAAATGTACGGATCTTCTGACTGAAGTGATTCCACTGAGAACAACCATCAACCGCCTGTAGAAACCATTTCACAACTACAAACACCAGAGGACAGACAGACAGTCAGTCAGACAGACAGAGTCAGTCAGTCGGACAGACAGACAGACAGACAGACAGTCAGTCAGTCAGACAGACAGAGTCAGTCAGTCGGACAGACAGACAGACAGACAGACAGTCAGTCAGTCAGACAGACAGAGTCAGTCAGTCGGACAGACAGACAGACAGACAGACAGACAGACAGAGGTTTAAAAGCACTTTATTGTTCATGAAGGCTACTTTACGTACAAAAAAGGTGGCCTGCCAAAACCTTTTTAGTAGGAGGAGACACAGCGCCACACATTGACTGTTTTGATACATATGTTACAGTTCAGAGTACGACTACCACTAAGTACAAGCTACTTCCACTTCAAAAAAAAAGGACCTGGAAAATATGGCTGAGAGTAAAGAGTGAATCCTCTTTGATTCCTGGCCACAGTTTCCATGTTTCCAGATGAAGGTGGAGAACTCTTCTTCTTCACCTCACTGTGACACAAGGAGGAAGATGAAGTGAGCAGTGATTTCACCATCGTCTCATCACTTCTGTCAGAATCCAGTGACGAGATACGACAGTGTGCACTGAGCTAGTGGCGAATGTGTTGATCAAACCGTGGTAACGGGCCCTCTCAAAGGTCCGACTCTTTTGGTTGGTGAACCATTTGTTCAATGTGTCAGAAGTTCTACAGTCAAACACCATTCAAATGATTGCCATGACAACGGGAACAACAGGTGGAAGTAGCGTTTGTCAGTGATGACGCAGTGGTTTCACTCTGAACGTTCACTCTAACGCCACAAACTCTACAAAGACAAAAAGATCAACTTTTTCACAAAGAAAAAATGCAATGATTACAACAAAAGACAGGAAGAAAAAAACAATTAAATAACTATATAATCATTAACATATTAATTGTTCCTCTAAAAATACCTAGGATTTTCTTTTCTCTGTACATTCTTTACGCACAGCGTAACGATGGTCTTACAGTTAGCCAGTATAAAAAAGTCTTCTTTTATTTTAAGTGATTTTCCTACAGTGTGTAGGGAGTGTGTTGCCGCAGCAGAAAGAGCGCCCCCCCTACCTACAGGGTGGTATTGAAACAAAATCATACAAACCAAAGCAAAAACCTTTTTGACCTTAACCCCCATTTCCCCTCATGTTGTTTACCAAACAAAAAACAAACAATGACACCCCCCACTGAACGTCAGAGGCAACTACAGGTTCGTGGATCTCATACGGGTCCAACGGGAGCGCAGCTCCTGAGGCACCCCCCCAACCCCCCACCCACAGGCAACCAAAGACATCACAGTTCGCACCACTTTGAACGGACAGAACGCCAGATTACAACATGCCGCAACTGGAGACAGTGGAATGTACGGACATATGACATCATCACTAGGTGGTGGTGGTTGGGGGGGGGGGGGGCATTTGTTAAATGGCATCAACATCAAGTGTGGAGATGATTCTCTGCGTGTGTGTGTGTTAGAGGAATGTTTGCCACTGGACTCTTTTGTTAAACAGACTGCAGTGTTGGAGCGCTAACTGGAGCGCTAACTGCAGCACACACACTTTAATGTTGTTCACACACAAAGGCTTTGAAATACCAAAAAAAAAAAACAGTGTCTGCAGACACCAAATCCAGACACGACCAGAGAGTGGCGCTGTGGTCAGGGCTATAACTGAAGACACATCCAGATTATCACATTCATCTCTTTGTCTTTAAACACAACAATTGTTTATGTTAGTGCTATTATCGTCTTCTTTTTTCTTATTGGCTGGATCCTTTACCAAGTACTTTGGTAACTAGATCCAGTAGGTGGCACTAAAGCAACTCCCTAATTTGAATTTTGTAATACAGCTGTTAACGGTGTACAGCAGAATTGACAGGCGCTCAGCGCTATAGCACACAGGCCAGCTGAACGTCACCTTGACTGTCCTGTTACCACGGCTTTGACTCTGTGCATCCAGCCAATGAACCACGGCACCACAACTGCACCCCCTGCTCCCCCTGGAGTGTGGGAGCTGCAGAAATGGTTGGATACTTTTCCAGAACATTCCAGTCTGTTGTGTCAGTTTGGTGTCTCAGCTCAGTCACTGATGGATCAACATCTACAGGGCAGCAGCCAATCAGCTGCTGCGTTCAGGTGAGAACAGAGCCTGTCCGGAGGCTTCGTCACCAAACCAAAGTATAAAACTGTAATAACACTACAACAACAATAACAATGTGGAGTACAACTGAGCCAGCAGTGAGTGTAGAGTGTCTAAGTCTGTTACTAACAACCAGAGAAGTAACAACGAGCGTCCAAAGCTAACAGTCGTTAAGAGTGAAATGTTTAAAACAACAACAACAACAACAACAACACACTAAGGGATACCAGCTATTACTGACAAGTCATGAGAGCATGCATCTGAAAAACCATTAGTTAACCCTCCCATCTATCTATCTACCCG